CCCCCCCCCCCCCCCCCCCCTCCCCCACCCTCACCAGGAGCTCGTCCTGCATCCGCCTATGCAGCCAGATAATTTATCAGTAAAAAACAGAGCATAAAATATACCTCGTGTGTACAGCGGCTACCATACAGTTGTAAATCTGTGCCAAAACCGTTGATACTTATAAGATCTACCCGTGGGAGCAGGGGACAAGACACATAAAACTTGATGGAACGAAATGTCCTCAACCTAACTAATTCTCATTACATATACTTTAAAAAAATGAAATTAAATAAAGCTATATAGATACACGTATTTATAATCCTACTTTACGTACGCCAGCAAGAAGAGATGGCCTGGTCATGTGGTATGGATGTCATATAATAGAAGGACGAAGCGGATAATGAAATGGTACCCGCGCACGGTAAAGCGAACACTGAGGAGGCCACCAGTGAGGTGGAGAGACCTCATGGTACGCCTGTGCGGTACCACGTGGACTCGGAGAGCGCAACAACGAGAAGAATGGAGAAATTGCCAGTGCTGCATCGATGGCGTAACAACAACGGACGTAGATGACATAGAGCTGCTCAAGTATTCAAGTAAATATTTTTATATGTATTTAAACAAATTGTTCTGATTTATTTCAGTTCATATTATTACTATTTCTGTGTGAAGTGTATCTGTTTTGATTTATTTCCAGTAATTTTCATCTATTTGTGGTAACATACCGTTTGGTGCAAGCTTTCATGAAATTTTCGAGGAATGAATCGTACTGCTTCCCGCGAACACGTTTACGTCGCAGCCCAATGTAAAATGGATCATGTAGCAATTCCTTCAAAAAACAATTTCATGTTATTTCTGTTCTGTTGAAATATTTGATTTGTCATCAAAGTTGAAGTGAAAACTCGCTCTGTAACTACACATCACGAGAAGTAGAGGCACGGAATCTGCTCCTGTAATAACACCTGTCATCAACAATCACTCGCTAGCAAGAATGTCGATGGCTCCCTCTTTTGAGAGTTATCTAGAGCACTGCGACCGTCAAACTGACGAGGTCCTGTCGCACGGTGTTGAGCTAAGACATATATGACTTAATGGGCCGAAACGTCTTATCTAACTTTCTCATACTGTTTTCTCATGCTGTAATCTACCGCCATTTAGGCTTCAAAGGTCAACCTGGTTGCTACAATCGGCTTAGAAGCAAATTAAAAACAGGTCCAACTCCATGTTGTGCATCAGTACCAATTTACCATCGAAACGAATGAACAAATCGTAAATGGAATTGGTTTTCCCACCAGTGAAATCGAAACTTCCCATCCACTGCCCAAGCAATCTTCCATCCAGTACAGGCCAATTTTTCCAAGCACTAAGATGGAATAAAATAATATAAAAAGAAGTTCAAAAAAAAACCACCTCTTTGTTGGTGCCAACATCCAGCAATACGGGAAGGCACCAGCGGGGCTGGACACCACCAAGTGCCACATAGAGTGCTAATTTACCCACCGGAATACCAATCCCGTATGCACCGAGATCACCGAGACCGAGAATACGTTCGCCATCCGTTACCACAATCGCCTGCAAAATCAAAACACGATAATTTTCCAACAAAGCGTCACTAAAATTTCAACTTTCTCAGTTCTATGCGATAGCAGAATAGAAAGATTGGTTTTAACTGTCATGTGCCGGAGGACAATTTACGATGTATTCTGTGTTTCATCCCTTAGTTGTAAACATAGACCGGGCAATGCATGCGGGTAGGAGCGGGGATCATTAGTGATACTGCTAGTTTACCCATCCCACCACTGAGACGCAGTACAGATTTTACAGTTAAAGCGCAATCCGGATGCTGTCAATTCCCGGAATTAATCTCTACAATGCGTAGCGGACACGAAAAGGTGCCTTCAGAAAAATAAAGCAGTACTAGTCAGTTTACAGTAGTTCTCCAACCTTCTTTGCTGGTACTTTTTCCGCATTTGAAATCCCATATGATTTAGTTCACCGCTCGCAGAGCTAAAGTTTACATCCCCAAAAGGCTTTTCAACTTTCCCGACGATTCAGGAATTAAACGCCTAGTCAGCACGCTGTTCTCATAACTGGCATGTGATGATTGTCCGTATCTTAGGCTAATTTCTTTTCCTTCCTCTCCTCTCTCATTTATGCTTGTTCTCTCTTTGTTTCCTCTTTCTTTCGCATATCCATTCTGCAAATTAGTCACATGACTATTCAGTACATGACGGCGAGGAGGTTGTACCGATGATTCCCGCTCCTACTCGCATGCGAAGTTCGATCTGTGTTTACAGCTAAGCGATGAAACACAGATTGTATCTCAAAAATGTCTTCTCAGAGATGATACTTAAGTCTCCAATCCCTGTATTCTACTAATTGACAGTAATGCTGAACTTATATCGGCCCTTCCTAGCTCTTTGCTTATCTTCATTTAGTAATCCCATGTATCCATGCTCTCAATGAATTTCGAATTCTTGGAAAAAAGACTTGCCCGAACATTCGTCTCAGGCCAATTGCTGAGAATGTGATGGATTTTACTAATACTGTTATCATTTATTGTGATATAGACACCCCTGAAATAAAAAAATTTAATCAAAATGTGGATTTTGCGGTCTGAATAAAAATATTCAAAATTCAAACTAATTCTCTTTACCACATTTCGACCGGGTAGCCACGAAACAGGCTTGCCAGTGCGATCATTTTTGTATTAAACTTGAAAACACAGCCAAATTTTTAACAGTCTGGATGGTTTTTGCTTTACAGTTTAACACGTAGGGCTCGAAATGACTGTGTTTTGGGCCCACTTGCATAAAAGGCTGGTATTTGTACTGAAAAATTCTGCACTCATTCATTCATTTTGGATAAAATTTTGACCTGAGTATAGGAAAAAGCATACTTTGGCTTGCGATAGATATAGCCGAAATTCTGACATGCCAATCCAACAGTCGGCGTATAGACGATTGGCATCAGCTCTTTGACATGCTCGCATAGTACACGATAAAACAGCTTTTCGTTGCGGTCCTTTAAATTTTGAGATTAATGGATCGAAACATTTTTTAATACACCGAAACATTTCTTACCATTGTAATGATTTCGTTAAAATATTTTGCAACTTTTAGTAATTTCTTAATATTATTTTCTCTTCTGTGCTTTTTCCTACTTCAAAATACCTTTCTATCAAATTTTTCTGCGTGATAGTCATCTATTCCATTATCATTTTAATTTTTTTTTTAACCACTTCGTCGGTATTCGTTTCTGGAAAGAAAAAAAATGTAGGTATCGCCAGCAGGCCGACAACCAGGCGATGCAACACTGGCCAAAACAACCATGAAATGAAGGAAGGAAATGGCTTGGTTTTTCGTCTTTTCGCCTACACTACTGGAAAACGTTTTAAATATGAATCACAGATGAGCCAATAACTGTTTCAGATATAAAATACCGCATTTTTTAATACCACTATTCAAATTCTACATATTTATATTTTAACCACTACTCGCAATTTCTTTGACCCCACAACCGCTGCCCACTGACCAGGCGGGGGAAAGGGGAGGGGGGGGG